AAAAACATGGTTGTGGCCAGGATCAACCACCCTGAAAAAGGGGGGAAAACAAACAGAAAGAGACCTGCTACAGTGAGGGAAAGGCCATTTCTGTGTATTGCCTTCTCCCAGGAGGCTGGAGGCAGAGGCATGAGAGAAGATTTATCCTCCCCTAGCTCTTGTCTGGCACTGAGGATGGGTCAGGAATCTTCTCTGCTGTCTTTCTTTCACGTCTGGTGTGTGTTTGTGTCTGGTTTGAATCTCCCAGCTCTTGTGTTGTGCCACGTCGGGGCTCTAGGAAGCAAAGCCTGGGGTGGATCTCCAGTTGTGGCACAGGTGTGCTCTGGGCAGCAGCACTGGAAAAAACCAGGGAGGCAAGGGAGCAGCAGAGTTTTTCTCCAGCCCTTACATCCATCTGGCTCAGAGCATTGCCATTCCTTTCCTACCTGGAAGTTTTCTGGCCATTGTGGCTTTTATTGCCCAGAGAGTGCTGTCATCACCAGACAGTTACAGGGGTTGCAGCTTTGCTCACCATTACTTAAAAAAATCTTCCTTGTAAAAAAGTTGTCATCCTTTATCTTAAAACAAATACTAGGTTTGCAAAAGGGTTCCTATCTACTGCCACTGAAAATGCTCTTTATATTGATGTGGTAACTGCTCATTTAAACCATATTACAGCTCCTGAGTATTTTTCAGTTGCTATTGATGTGACAAATTCTCTTGCACAGAGGACTGCACCAATCAATAGAGTCAGTATATGTGCTTTAACAACAAAGCCACATGCCTTGGGGTTCCAGTTGAATCTGAACCTTTTAGTAGCATTGAATAAAGCTGTATTTATTTTGCTTTTGGTGCAAGGAATAAAAAAAATCCGAACCCAACCTAATTTAATACAACTTGTTGGAAAGGTTTGAAGGCAGCATTATGGGGCCATTTTCACATGTGATGAATACATAACTAGTGTCAGAGCTGCTATTTTGTTTTTGTAAGTGAATTCTTCTCTTTTAGTTAGATTGATCTGGAACTACAGAGTAGCCTTTTATTTTTAGACAAGCGGGGAGAGAAGTCATAACGAGAAATACTGAAATCATAGCTTTTTTTATGGCTGCCACTATTCCACTGAGAATGAGATAAGATATCCTTAAAGAGACAGGGCTATTTATTTTCCATTTAAATAGCACCATTTGTGATTATTACCTTTGAGCCGTATGCAGAGAATAAGCACCCAACTCATTAATCCCAGCCAAGTCACTCAAAGTTTTGTACCTAAGTGCCATTTATGTCTCTGAGTTGCTGTAGGAGCCTATTCTTGACCTTCACTGACTTTATTTTTTTGCATTCTTTTATCTCCTACAAGGTACTTGTAATTAACAGGGACCTCAATGTCAGTTTGGTTGACATATTTATTTCCTTTCCTCCCCTTTTAAATAGCTGATCTCAGGTCTGAATAATCTCATCTGGGTGTTTTAGCTTTACTTTCAGTTAAGGAACTAAACAAACTGGGCTTTCTTCTCTTTTTAATTTCTTCTGTAAGTCTGACTTGTATCTCTGGTGATTTGAGTTCTTGTTCATAGCAGCAACCAAAGGACCAAATTCTCCAGTGAATTGTTTTGTTTACTTTGGGTTTGTGTCTTATTTGTGTTTTTATTATTATTATTTCAATTCTGCAAATGGCTTAGTAAACTTCAGCCAACGTGCTCTAGATCTTTGTTTTGGTTTATGCATCTGCAATTTAGCAATAATTAGGTTCAGATATCTAAAATTAGCTGTGGAGCGACATTTATCAGCGTGCGTACAAAACCTGTGTTGCATTCCTGGGCTTTGAGGCACTATGTAGGTACCAAGCAGTATTGTTCAGAAAAGAAGACATCTTTAAATACACCCATGCAATCAAAACAGGGCTTTATTGTTAGTCTTGCAAGTGAGAAACTGAGCTGAGCTGGTCTCTGTCTAATGACATAACGAGCCGAGCTCTACTTCTCCAGCAGTAGTTGCCAGGACACAATCCATGGCATTTAAGAGCTGATACAAAAGACTGGAGGGCTGTTCCCGAAAGGCTGTTTGCCAGACACGGGAAGTTATGGGGGTGACACAACCCAAGAAATATGCTGTGTATTCTCAAGTGCCATCTGCTGGTACTGTTAACTGAGCTCTTTCCAGCAACAGGTGCAAGGCATGCCTGCATCTGGCTTTTTTTATTGGTGGCCTGAAGGCAGCTGCCTCCTTACACGGCACATATTGTTGGCTTCTAACATGGGTTGCCCCAAGCTGCAAGTGCACCAAAGCCATCCTCCCACCCCAGCAGTTGCCATCAGGATGCTGTGCCAAACTGCCTTGAAAGAGGGGAGGTGGCTGTGCAGTGTCAACAGGCAGGAAGGATGTCCATTGGCTGCTTATCCCAAGAGGATACGGTCTGTGATAAGGAAAGTGTTCGTGTAGTTGTCAGCAGTGGGGACAACTCCCATTCCAATTCCCAAGGCTTTGTCTCCCTTCCCCCAAATGAAATTAGTGGTACTGTTGCTTTGCTGAAGGTCCGGTTCAGGGAAGTGCTCAGAAGTGGCACTTGCAGTGAAGGCTGTGCCTCAGGAGCATGAGTTGATTCTCTGTGGGTTTTCTTCCCCTTCTACCTTTGCCCTTGTTTAATTTTCCCTCCTTAACACAACCCATTTACATGAGATCACCAGCAACTAGTGATCACTCCCAAGATGTCTGCAGGAGCCTCTTTCCTTGTAGTCAAGTTGTATCATATTATACAAGTGAGGGGTTCAGTACTCACCTTCAGTTCACCAGGAAAAGATTTATCACCTGTCAATAGAAAAGACCAGTCTTCCTGTTCCAACTGCTGCTACGTGAGTGGGGAAGGGGAAACACCATCCAAGTTATCAGGAAAACAATAGCAGCCTAAGGGAATGTTTGTTTAGGTTCCATTTTTGTTGTTTTCTTTTCCTGGGTGACAGCTGTTCTTTTATTTTTTTATTTTTGAAATTGCAGCACTTAAAGTGATGGCAGCTTGCTGTTTAATTTATAATATTGGTCCTAAGGGCAGTGTTGTGTAACGTCAAAACAATCCTGAGACAAATCTAAATAATAAGCATTCATTATCTAAACCAATATTGTATTAATAAAACAAGACTAAATAATTTGAGGATGTGTATCACTTCTGAGCAGTGTAAAGGCAGACATCTGCCCAAAGTTTCCACTCATGTGTCTTGGACAGTACTTTAACTCCCAGATACTGTAATCTCTTTGTGACTTGGAAGAGCCTTGTGAAGTATCTCTAACTGGTTCAGAGTTCTGATGTTTCTGTGTTTGGAGAAGAAACTTTTTTTTCTTGGCTTAATTCTCATAGGAGAAGTCTCCCAAAGGAAACACGGTTAAGTGTGGAGTTTCAGGAACTTGTGAGGTGTTGAGCTCTTGAAAACTAGTGCTGGTGCTCATTTGAAAATTTAGGTTGTGGTTGTAAAGGAAACTTTATTTAGCTACTAGTACACAACCCTTTTCTGCTGAAGTAGGGAGAGATTGGGGACTGCTGTTTCACAGCTGCTTTAAGCTAAGGAAGATGTGTGCTGGCACCCAAAGGGGCAGTTAAGTTCTGTTTTCCCTCCTGGCTGTGCATCCCTGCCACCTCCTTTTTGCCAGGACTGGTGCTTGTGTGGCAGTGCTGTGAGCTAGAAAAAGGACCATTCCTGCAGAAAATCAACCTGACAAAACAGTTTTCACTTGGGTCCCTGTGCAGCCAGAAAAATGGGACCAAGACAGGAGGGATTCCTTTTTCATTGAAGCTTGGGTGTGGATGGACATAAAGCAATTTTGAAGGCAGAGCATAAATGTAGGTTGCGCTTGTGCAATTATTCTGGGAATCTTGGAAGTGAAAGACAATGGTAGATTTCTTGGATGGTTTTTGGTGTGTTCAAATGTAACCATGCCTATATGACCTCTTTCTTAGGATTATTATTTGTTAAGAGCAGCAAATGATTATTTACACTACTTGGTAACAAATTGGGTGACTTGGCATGTCCATTCAGGAAAATAGGAGCTTTATGGTGTCAGAAGCTGGAAACAAGCTGTTTCCATGCAACTGTTGTACCCCATTATGTACACATGGTGAAAAACTGCCCACAAAACCCTTTCCTCTCCGCTCCCTATAAATACAGAAGCCATCATAGCTGTGCTGACATGGCAGAGGGAGCAATTAATCTCATAGCAGATTACTTCTCTGCTGCCCCTGGCACCAGGCAGAGGGGGGATGTCAGGATAGGCTGGGAGGAGGTAGATGTGACAGCTGATTGACAGCTGATGGCTTTGCCTGGTTGGTGCCGAAGAGCTGGAGGAAGAGTGCTCTGCCAACACGGAGGAGTTGGGATCAGAAAAGGGATGTGACACTTCAAGCCACAAAAGCATTAGCCATCTGTGCCAGTGTGAGTGGGACAGGTATGCTGCCTCCTCGTCCCCTCCTAGGCAGGAAAGGATGTATATTAGTAGAAGTATTTGTGACTTAAGACGCAGCTCCTCGGTGTTAACCCGGCTCCCCAGGGAAGAGAAGAGCTTATTTCAGGTTGTGCAGATCATAAACCTGCTGCCTTGTGTGGTGCGTGTGCTCTGAATACTAATGCTGCCTCTCCCCTTTCTTTACTGCCATGGCCATTGGGCTGATGTATTGTATAGATTATACAATGATAATGGATGGGGAAGGGGAATTTCGTCTGTCGCTTTAACCAAAATATGAGCAGTAAATCCTGCCAGTTTGCAGAGAACAGCTGGATTTCTAATAACACCGGAATGCTGTTGTGATGGTTGTGGGTGGGGAGTGGGTTTGGCTGCCCCCTCCCTTTTATCACTGCCATTCAGACATTCAAATGCTTGCAAAAGGACTGGAGCTTTCCAGTGCCCTGAGACTAATGCAGCATTTATCCTGGGAGTCTGCCAGCTCTGTTGGATCTTGGAAAAGCCTGACCCCTCTTTGGTGCCTCTCCACCGTGCCCAGGGGAAGAAAGGGAGGCAGGGGCCTTGCATTTGATTTTCCAAGTAACAGCTGGGTGAGAGAATGGTGTTTTCTTCTTTACAAGACCAGTCTTTACTCACTGAGTAGGCTGAGCTGTGATACCATACTCTGCAAAGCAAGGGGTGAGGTGCATCCCAAAAGGGCTTACGCTAAGGCTGTATCTTTGAGACTCTCAAGAACTGAAAGAAGGATGTCACAGAAATAGGCAAAGCCTATCAGACTGGTCACATTTTGTATTATTAATAATAATTTTTGTATATTAATTTGAATTGAAATAGGTCAGCAAGGAAGCCTGAATGTTCAGATGATCAGTAGTGCATTGACACTGCAGTGCTGACCAGAAGCCCCAGTCCTGTTCTGCTAGGTGCTGTACAAGTATATCATAAATGATCCTCACTTTCCCAGAGTGCTTTCAGAGCTAAAAGAGTATGGCACAGCAGGAGGACAAGGCAATCAAGCAAGCTGTTATAGCAGGGGAAGACAGAGCACTAAATATAATAGGATGAATAGTGGTAGTTTTTTTTCCTTTTTATGGTTTTTTTTTCCCCTCTGGTTGGTGGCAGGGAACACAATAGCAAACTATACAATCGGGCTGAATAACCTTCGTATATCAACTGAGAGTAGGACTACTCTAAATTTGGTGAGCCCAGGGAAGGAGCTTTCAGTGACAAAATGCATTTGCTGAGGATGGTTGACCCAAAAGGTGGGTTTCTTCAGAGCAGATTACTTTTAGATGTTCTGTTCTCCTATTCTTTACTCCTTGCACAAAACTGCAGAGCTCTACTCAGCTCCCTGTTCAAGCACCATTTACATTCTAGCACCAGGATTTTTGTTATTCTGTTGCAGCTGAGCAGTATTATGGTTCTACCCATTGTTTTACATCTGGATTAAATTGTCATTTTGTGCATCTGGAGGTATGTTTGTTCAGTAGGTTTTGGAAATCCACAGATGTTCAAAGCCCAGTCAATCTTTTGGCAGTGCTTGCAAATGAGGAAGCTGCACAGTGAAAATATCTATTCCATGCAAGTAGTCAAAGCAAGTTTTGTACCCCAGCAATTGTCCTTGGATACATCTTCTCCCTGCTCTTCCAAAACTGAAAAAAAAATCAATTCACAAGCTGCCAGTCAACCCCATTTACTTTTACGGTGCCTTTGCTAACCTTCTGTACATTTTCAGCTGCGAAAATCTTCAATGTTTTTAATTCTTCCGTTAGGGTTTACTTTTCCTCCTGCTCTTGATGTGCAAGGAGGAACCGACGCTGGCATAGGTTTGCTCTTGATATCTCCATCTTGCTGATGCTTTGCTAACTGGTGTGAAAGAAAGACAGGTCACAAGGAGATACGCTGTTATCAGTATGGGTGAGAGGCAAGTGCAATCCTGGCAGACAGTTCTTTTTCCTTACATTGGTCACCTTTTCAATTACAGGTCTGATCTGCTAAAGTTTTGTCATTCTCATTCTAGTTTCTGTTAATGAAATGCATTTAACTGTCAGCTCTTGTTAACAGTAACAACACAACCGAGGATTCATAAATTCCCCTGGAAGTCAAATGACTGCTACCTTAGAAGAACTGAGTCAAGTTCTTTTTCGTTTTGAAGCTGGAGGAGGAGACAACCACAGCATTCTTGATCCAGCCAGCTAGAATATTTTGAACAATGAATCTATTTCAGACTTTTATTTCTGGAAAGAAAAAAACCTGTTTCTAAGAATCCTGGGTTTTTGTGTCCCTATCATCACTCAGCTGTGCTCTTTGTATCTTGTATCTGTCTCAAATTATTGCTTGTTATCTGGCATATTCAGAAATTCAACTTTTTAAGAGACAGTAAGTTAGACAGTTAGTGCCCTCCACAGATGTATAAACAGTTGTGTTTGGCACAGGTTCAACCTGTTATGAAGAACAACAAGAATGAGGAGAGTTTTAGAAAACTTGTCATATGACTAGAAAGTCCTGGAGCTTAGTTTGTTTAGATTAGCAGACAGCAGGCTATGAATGAATGACATGATCTGAGATCGTGTGTGGGGACCCATTGGTGTGTGATCTGAGTCTGAGTACATACATGAAGAACATACCAGCATGGAGTAACAGGAAGGTTACTTTTCAGTACTGTAGGGGAGGGCATAAAAGAGCTGAATGTCTTGACGCAGCTGTTAAAAAATGAAGATTCAAGTCCATGGGGGGATGGTAAAGACTGTGGTGTATTTTCCCTGATGGACTGTATTTGTTTGAAATCAAAGTATTTTCTGTTTGGGGTTTTGTTTGTTTTCTTTTGAGAGTTTTTTGGTTGCTTTTTGGGGGAGAAGGGTGGTTCAGTTTTTTGTGAATGGGAACAGCTTCAGAGGAGGTCTTTGTGTGTGAATGGTAGATCAGCAAAGATGATCACAGTAGCCCCTTTCTGGATTTTAAATGTATGATTTTCAAACTATCGTATAGCACTGATAGCTTTCTTTTGCAAGAAGTCTATATACCCAATGATTTCTTGGTCTCTCTTAGAGTTAAAGGCTTGTTTGACTGGAAAAATTTGACACAGTGCATACAAACTAAGTCATTCAATCTAATTGAAGTATTCTATGAGTTCTGGAGAGAATTTTTTCCTTTCAAATGACAAAGTCTATTAGATTCAGTGGAAGTTAAAGGCTTCTTCTTTCAACTCTGCAATGCAGAGGGGTTTGCTGTTTGGTATCATGTAAGCTTAATAGGGTAAGGAAGAAACATCACAAAATAAAACATCATACTTCCTCAGAAAATCCAGTTAACTTCTGCTGATGCCTCCCTAAACACTTGCCTTAAACAGAAGCTGTTGGGCTGAAGATGTGTAAACCCTGTAGTTGTTCCAGGTCTGCAGGAGCAGGAGAAAAGTCAGCTTTGACCATTTGATCATTGCTGGCATGAGCAGAAATTGGTTTTTACCTGCATGTTCCTCAGTGACAGTTAAGTTCATTATAGATATGGTTCTTTATTTAAGGTCAAACATGGGAAAAAAAAAAAACTTTTTTTATTGTAAAGATACAATCTCTAATCTCTAAAATAAAAGGCTGATGCATGGAGTTTGGAATAGCTATTTAAGTTGGAAGCAGGCCATGACTAAGTGCTGGCATGAACAAAGACAAGAATGTGGCCACATTCCCTATAAATGGATCTCTCGGATAGCCCACATCTCTTTTATCTAGTCTTGGAAACAATACTGTATTTTCCTATATCCTGGGACATAAATTGTATTAAACTCTGAGCTCTTACATGGTCTCAATGTGACTTTGACCACTGGTCAAGGTGAAAGGTGATATTGAGTTCTGTCAGGAACAGAGTATTTTGTCTTTGGTCAACTTAATTGAAGTGACCACCCAAATTTCTCCCTGTATATGTGCTCACACCAATATATAACTGAAGAAGTTATCCTGCAAATTAGAATTACTGCCAACAATGGTAAACTGATAAAATACAGTTAAAATGCTAAGTGATGATTTGCATGATTGGAATTGCTTTAACAGAACTGGTTGATAGTAAGAGCTTTGTTTTATACCAGCTCATGTCTCTTAATCGGTACTTCCAGAAAACTGCAACAGAGATGGAGTCTGAACATTAATTCTGTGCTTTTCACATGCTCCTGGCCTTTTTCACTCCATCCTGCTGGAGCCAGACAGTGCATATGTACCTGTCTGGACAGTCCTGTTCTACTCTTGAGGAAATCCTTAGGTCTGCTCTGGATTTGGGGGCTTGTGGTTTTCAGGTGGCTGAAGTTTTGGTTGCTGACCCTGAGATATGTCAAAGGCTTCTGGAGTCCAGAGGAAGAGTGTTTAGCAATTTTTAATATTACAGGTCCATCTATAGCACTTCCAAAATCAGACAGTGAAAGAGTCTTGAAATTTTTGGCTTTAGAATTTAAAGTGTAGCTCCCCAGTGATTCCATGGAAAGTCTCTACAGTTATTTGTGTTGCGAATTAAATAGAGGGGGAAGTGAATTTTTAGATGTATGAAGTTTTCTCTTCTGATTCCTCTCTTACTGCTTGTTTCCATTCAGATGAAGATGTATTGGTGGCCTGTTTGGCATTTCTCATCTCCCACAGCCACTGTCACGGGATTTTGTTCCTTTGCATGAATGAGTCTGAGAGGACAAGTGGGCCTAAACCAGCTGCAAGTGAAATTTCCCAAGGGGTTGCCTGCAGGCATAAATGCACCAATGTTGGGACCAGAGCAGCTGCCTCTGTCCTGTTAGCTGAGGATCTGGTTTGGGGCAGGATGGGGCATCTCAGGACACACAGCATAAGAGGAATGGAATTTGGAGGAGAGTGTTCAGCTGCAGGACACAATTATGACCTACTATACTCTCTTTTTCTTTTTTTTTTTTTTAATTTTCTCTTGAGACTGTTACAATTCTCCCAAGAACATCCTGAAATCCTGGGTTTCTGGATCTGTTTGTTAAAAAAAAAAAAAAGAAAAAGAAAAAAGGAAAGAAAAAGGCAGAAATATTTGGCATTTATAGTTTAAAATGTTTCCTTTTGTCTAAAATTCCTTTTAATAAATAGAACTTTTTTGCGGATTATCAATTAAAAGAGTCTGAAAAAGCAGCAAAGAGCTTTCTGGTAAAGTCCAGTTTTCTAGGACTAGCTCTGCAGTTCTCCTTTGGCACGTAAGTCCATATAGTTCTACATGAAGATGTATTTCTGGAAGCAGTTGATACCATAGCAAATAAGATCCCATTTGTCTCTGCAAGAAATTATTAGATCTGTGAGTAACAAGGACGTAACAGTTCCATGTTTTAAGGCTCCACTGGAAACTATTTCTAGTTGTCCTAAAAGATCAGTGTGCTTTGAGTTGTTTTTAGAACACCCTTTATCCTGAATTAAAATGAAAAGAAGAAAAAGTCCTTCAGAGAGGGTATAATTAAATGGGCATTTGCCTGTGTAACACACCTCTGTAACTACAGTATGTAGAAGTCTCAGTCTTCTAATCTCCTGAAAAAGTGGAGAACAGGCCTTTAGAATATAGACCTGAACATGAGGAAGAAACTGCTGTCATTTGCTTTTTTTTTTTCTCTTTA